TGTCGCCGAGAGGTGTTAACCGAGGGCAGCCGGGGAGTCCCGGGCGCCCGAGCTTGTCGCTTCCGCACCGGGAAGCTCCCGGGAGGAGGTGGATCTGGGAGAAAGGAGCGTCGCTTAGGGGTCTAGATCAGATCCGCCAAAATCCGGGACCTCCTGCTGCCCTTGGTTCGTTGCGAGGTGCTGCTTTAGGTTGGCCCCCGAGGGCTCTGCCGTGTTGTGCAATGTGGGTGCTTCCTCTACAGTAATTGCAGACAGCCCTTCACTGCTTCCCTGTCTTCTTTATGTGAGTGGAAAAAAACAGCGGAGGGATCTGAGTCCGGCTTTGGGACACACCAGTGTCTGAGATGTGTGTGAGTGAGCTGTGCTTCCTCCTCTCTTTAAGCTGAAACTCCTGAACAATAATTTTAAAGGACAAAAGATCCGTGAGGCAATAACCTACCTGCGCTTGCCAGCGTTGCTTAGCCTTAGGCAGCAACAAGTTTTATCTGACACCATTGAGGTCTGGAGACACGTGTCCCGCTGCCGTCATGTGACAGTGACAGATCTCGGTGCTACCGAGCGCCCCTCTGCCGTGGAGGCGTCGGGAGAGGCGGCCCCGCGGTGCTGCGGCCTGCGAGGGCCGGCCTGGGCGAGCGGAGAGCGGCCTGGGCGAGCAGAGAGTCCTGCCCCGGCGGCGGCCAACGCTTCAGCACCGAACCCAACGTGCCAGAAAGAGCCCTGCTGGGATCAAAATACCAAGATCGTGTTGCAGTATCGGTGTTGTGCGAGCTAGAATAGTTGGCTGCCTTTCATTGCCTTATTTTGTACATTCGATAATTTGAAAGAAAACCTAATAATCTCAAAACATACCAAAACAAAAGAATCTTTTTTTTTCATTTTTCAAACACTGAATTAAGGAAGCTTGCTGTCCACTTAGCAACACTAAATGCAAAGGTTCACTAAGTGTTTTTTGTCTCATATTTCCACTGATTCCTGCTATTTCCTGTGTTTCCTGTTTCATTCTATTTTTGTTCTGTATTCATTTCTTATAATCTAAATGCTGAACTTGTTCCTGTTTTCTTCTCTTCCTTTTCTGATCTGGTCTGTTGCTTGTCTGCTGTAAAGCTAACTAAGTTAAAATGTGCATTGTTTTGAGAGACATGAGGAAATTACTGGCTCCTTTAAGTTTCTTCCTTACATTTCTGGATAATGCGCTATAGGTGGCAAGACTTCACCAAAAGATGGCACCCCACCATGTGGCCCCCAGCATGGTAGGGTGCCTCATCTGAAAGTAAGGGTGATGCTAGACCTGGATGGGTGCAAAAGTAGCCCCAAAGCCAAGTTTTTCACCTTCCTAGGGTATGGCCAGAATTGCAGTGGACCTGCAAGTGAAGTAGCTGGACCTTTGTTCCTCCAATCATCTCCGAAGGTTCCCAAACTGTTGGACCATTGGACTGCTGTCAGTCTTCATGCCTTGAAATTAACAAATGAGTCTGCCAAAAATACTTTTCGGTATGATTCCATAAACTGACTACAGGACAGAATTACAGGTGGGGGAGAGACTGATACTTGTGTCCAAGGTCCAAAAGTAGCAGTTCTTGCTCTTTCAAATTCTACTGTTCTTTTTTTTTTTCTTTTTTTTTTCTCATTATCTTTTCCCCAACTCTGAGAAGTTGCTGTAGAGTTAGCAAAGGGCATATAACTAGTAGCGAGTCTTTTTTTTCCTCTGTAACCGAATTGTTCATCAAAATAGCGAGCAGAGTCCAAATTCTATTTTTACTTTCTGCTTCTTCATTAATTGGCTAACATTGATTTCTTTTTCAGTGGACTGATTGGTCGCAGCTGGGCTATGATGTTTGCTGCTGCAGGCTTTGAAGTGAAACTTTATGATATTGTGCAACAGCAGATAACAGGCGCACTGGAAAACATTCGGTAGGTCACCTGACTTGCAATAACTGGCACTGAAATAAATCTGTGGGATTTCTGTAATTAAGGATGAAGAACCATGTCTTGTTGTTTGAAGGAAGTTCTGTTAAGATCAGAAAAACTATGTTCCCAGATCTCTAGATCATGTTTTCAAGAACACTTTGAATAATTTTATAGGTAGTGATTTAAGAGCTTGGTTTCAAATTCTTGTAATAATGTGTAACACAATTAGATTATCAATAGACTATGATTAAAATACACAAGCATAAAGGTTTTTGTGTAGAAGGACAACAAAATCTCATTCAAAATGGAAGAAGACTAATATTGGTTGCTAAGGAGCCCCACTACAATTAACAGTATTCTCTATAGCTGAAAAAATAATGTTATTTGGGTTGGAGAAGAAGAGGATATTAGTTCTACTAAAGATACAAGTGCTGATCAGTTGAAGTAGAGTCCTGGAATCTGCTTTATAAAGAGCAGAGTTGGGGTCTTGAATGTATTGGTGTGAGCCAGTTTGCTCATAGTCCTAGTTCTTTGCCCTGGAGCACTACGGCTAAAGCCTCGTGCTCCAGGTAGGCGATGGAGCTCCGAGTTAAGTCCTGCCCTGCGCCAAGCTACAGGGCCCACAAAGGCCTTGTCTGTTCAGTAACTCTGACTAGCTCTTTTCCAGGTATTTCGCTAACCTTCTTTTGAACCCATTGGTTCCTTGCCAAAGGACTTTGTGTTCTACAGGTTTACTACTCACTCCCATAGGAGCGAGTTCCTTTTGCGTGTTTTGAACCTGGCTCCCCACTTGGCTTCTAGTTTTAGGACAGGAAGATGCTGAATGGTAAAAAAGGTGAACAGCCATCTCCCAGAAAACTTTCCTTGCCCTCCTCCATCTTCCCCCAGCTTCTGTTTCTGGGAAGGCTTTAGTCAAATTTAACATCTTTGTTGCTAAGCCTAAATAGCACTAAATAGCAGACACTTTTGGTTTTGCAGAATTGCTTTCATGGTTGAGAGATTTAGATTATTTGTAGGAAAATAAGAAAAAATAGGGTTGATCACTGTACCTACTTATGCAGACTGCAGAACTTTCTAAAGCAGAGTGAGGACTTTAGCTTTACAAGGCTTTTGGCTTGGAAAAGAAAAACATAAAATGGCATGTGATGGTGGGGAAGTATTTCGATGTGTCACTGAATGCTGCATATGCTGGCCCATAGGCGTTCAAGGAAGGCATTTGCCTTAACTCAACTTATAATTAAGCTATACGTCTTGGCTGTTGTAAGATCTTAGTTAACATGTCTAGTTTCAGAGGAACATAGGTTTTGTGACAGGAACAAGATGTGCTGTTTCTTCAACTTAATGATTATGTCTGTCAAAATACCCTTGAACTTGAGCTCTTCTCCCCCCGCACACTGACTTTGTAGTGCAAAGTCTGCTATAAGTCCATGTGTTTTACTGATATGATATTGATTTACTGTGTAAGAGCTAGAGCTTGAGTAGAAATGATCACTGTGCAGGGTTACTCTTCTTTTGAAGTAGAGGGAATCCCTCGCCAGAGACCACCAGGGGAGCATCCATTGAAGCTGCCTGACAAAGCCCCTTGGTAGCTACTTCTCTGTGAACTAGCTGGGATTTGTTTTCCTTTGTCTCTTCAAATCCTTAATGCTTTTAGGGAAGTTCTTGGAATTAACATCTCAATAGATTTAGTATTCAAAGGAGTTTTGTTTCATTCTCATTTGCAATTCATGCTCTTTAGTATATTATTTTTATGTTCAGAAGTAAGTAGGGTACAGAGAGGACCTTTTTTTTAACAAAGAAAAAGGTGAATTTGAATAGTGAACAGCAGTCACTCTATTTCAAACTGAGTAGGAATGAAACATAAGTATTATGTGATTGACTCTTAGTATATTAACTCTTATAAATCCAGAACAATGAGTTACAAAACCGAGTTTCAAAAGGGTGTTTAAGGGTTCTTTAAGCTAATGAACTCAACGCTTGCCAGTGTACTGGGAGCAGACATGTGTGGTCCTGCTGGAAGACTGAGCTTGCGACTGGAAGGGAATTATGTTGATAATGACAGTCTGCATGAATCACTGTGGAAAATCTCAAATGTACTCTGGTTCTTCCAATGTCTGCTTGGGGTCAAAAGGAAAACAAGCGGAAATACTTACCAAGTTGCCACAAAACCAGTAGACCAGCTAAGCAGAGTAAATGAGTGAGTTTGCTAATGCCTGACTTGGTGTGATAGATTTATTACCTACTTAATTTTTGACAGGTACATGTCAATTTGTGCCTTGGCACAGCAACAGCATATTGGATTGAACTGGATATACCAGCAGCATTATTAACCAGGGTCTGTTCTAATGGAACAAACTATTATTTTTCTCTCTTTTGTTGAAGACAGAAATTAATAAACAGTTTTATGCCACACCTGGTCTCTCAAAAACCTAAGTAACTTGCCTTGGAAAATGTAACTTTTCATATCCGTTATGCTGTGTTCTAAGTGTGACTGATTTTGCTTTGAAAATAAGATTACTAAACTTAGAAATTATGAGAACTAGAAGAACAAGTAATGCCTCGTTCCTGAAAGTAACCCTAATTCATACTATATGTATTACATACATATTTACGATTTAGTGTATGCTCTGCCTACCATAAAAAACTTGCAAACCTTTTTGAAATGTCTAGGCTCTTTAAAATACTTCCATAATTATGCTGCTGGTAAGGATTGCTAAATACAGTGGAAACATGATATTTTGCAGCACCTCAAACCCTGTGTTCAGTTTTGGGCCCCTCACTGCAAGAAGGACTTTGAGGTGCTGGAGCGAGTTCAAAGAAGGCAGCAAAGCTGGTGAAGGGGCTGGAGCAGAAACCTTAGGAGAAGCAGCCGGAGGAGCTGGGATTATTCAGTCTGGAGAAGAGGAGGCCCCGGGGAGACCTTGTCGCTCTCTGCAGCTGCCTGAAAAGAGATTGTAGTGAGATGGAGGTCGGTCTCTTCTCCAGAATAACTACCAATGGGACAAGAGGAGATGGCCTCAAGCTGTGCCAGGGGAGGTTCAGGTTAGATTCAGGTTAGATATTAGGAAGAATTTCCTCATGGAAAGAGTAGAGAGTGGTCAAGCATTGGAACAGGCTGCCCAGGGAAGTGGTGGAGTCACCGTCCCTTTCAGAGTTGAAGAAACATGTACATGAGGTACTTAGGGACATGGTTTAGCAGGCATGGTGGGGATGGGCCTATGGTTGGACTTGATGATCTTGAAGGTCTTTTCCAACCATAGTGGAGTATGATTCTAGGTGGGTTGCTGATTGCTTTACTACCCTTTTACTATCCAGTCCTTTTAACATGCTCCTTCACCCCTAGATACTGCAGCTTTAGAACAAAGTATATATGAAGGAGTAGATAGAGTGTCTGAGGCTTGCTCCATGGAAGGATCAGAGTAATCCTAGAAGAGCAGTTCTCTGCAGGCACCTTCTCACTGGGGAAGAAATCAGTTCCCGAGCTCTTCCAAGAAAGTGAAGGGCACTGGGCAGGGCCCCCACTGTGACAGAAGTAATAACTGCAGGTCTGTGGTTCAGAAGAGTCTAAAAGACTTTGGTGACTCCTGAGATTTTAAGGAGTGTGTCTGTGTGTTTTAAGAGGTGCTTTGGGGCTTGTTGGCTTGCTTGCTTGCTGGCAGTAGGTCAAACGCTCATACTCTCTGTGCCCCAGGCTGTTTCTGAGCTAGCCAGGTCTCAAAGCTGTACAGCCAAGTCCCTGCAGGCATTGTAAGTGCTCCTTTCGCTTTTAATCATTTCTCCCTGCTGTAATAATAATGGGATACGTGGAAATCCCTGTGCCTCAGGGTTGAAATTTGGGGCTGGCGATTATTTTTTACCAGCCCAGATACCCTCTCATTTATCAGGAGTTAGTAGATAGCAAGCTGGTACCATGACCTTAGGAGACTGTTAGTCAAATCCTTCAAGTTGTGCCCATGACCGAATTCCAGGCTGAGGCTCTTGCGGGGGGTCCCAACAGCTGGGATGGCCCCAACATTAGTGTTCAGCCTTTGGGACAATGATCTTGAAGTCTCTGTTGTCACTAAAATAGCCATCCAGCAGAGGTCAGTAGTGTATTGCTCTATAAACCGGCATATTATCTGCCTTAAAGTATGATAAAGTGTCAGGGGAAGCACCTTCCTTTGCCTACACTTTTCTGGCAAACCAATACCCTAAATAGAATATAAGGAGGATTTAGTGTTTGTAAGATTAGAAATTTTTTTGTGGAACAGAGCAACTAAAGAGGCAATAAAACTCTATTAGTGGAGAGGACCAAAAAATAATTTCCTGAGAGGCAAGGCCAAAACTGAAGAAATGCACTATTTATGTTTCCTGTTGGATGGACTTAAATAACTAGATTTCTGATAGAAAGCAGAAATGTCATCCTTGGCAGAGAAGGAAGAGAATAGAACAGGAGGCAGACACTGAGAATTTCTGAAGGAGCTTGTGGGAGAAAAGCAAAAGCCACATTTTAGTCTGTCACTAGCCTTTTTAAAGCCATCCACTGCCTATTGTGGATGGTGCAAGTTTCAGGGGGCTGGGGAGGATGAAGCAGGTGTGATAGCACACAGCAAGTGAACAAAATTTCACCTGGTTCTTCTAAGAAGAGAGTAATTCTGTTGTGGTGGTCTTTTCAAGTAAAAAATATTTGTTAAAACTAGTATTTTGCTAGAAGATGCTGGATTTAAGCAAGTGCACCTGGGAAATGGACTTCTGAGGAACTGATAGTCAAGACCTCCTGGGTTCTTGGTTTCCTACCATCTCATCTCAAAAAACATGAAGGATCAGAAGTCGGGATGCTGCAGACCCCATTTCCTTTAGAGATGTGGCACTAGTTGCCCTTAATGAGCTGTAACTCTTAGAGGGAACTTTTGCCCAGCAAGTTATACCTTTGCAACTTAGAAAATAGACCTGAAGCTTCCTGTTTCTTATCACTTGTCATGAAGCCAGAAATGTGGACTTTTTAGCCATCCATGGGTGTATTATCAAGGAGACAAATGAGGAAGTGAACCAGAAACTTGATAGATTTCCTGCTGTGGTTTCTGTGGCACTGCCTGGAGGAGGCTGTGTTTGGACACATATCTTTCCCTGAGATATTTTTAAACAAAAATGTTACTAGAAGGCAATTTCTGACTAGTTTAGCTTAGGTTGTGAAAGGACTATTTTATCTATTTATTAAACCATAAAGGCATAGTCAGAAAATGGGCAGAAAGCTATTAACAAAAGTCTTTGCTTGAGTTTTGATATGCATAGATTGATAGATTTTAGGACAAGCTAGCATTCCTAAGGGCTTCCAGGGAAGCAAATGTGACAGAACCAAGCAGTCTCTGAAATGACTGTGACTTATGGTCTCATTCTTCAGCTAAGAGTGACTTGAGCCTTTTCAAAGCCGTTGTCCAATCTAAACAGTACAGTACCTGGCTATTTACTCTGATAGGGTAGACCAAAAGTGAAGTAATCCACTTACATAAGTAATCCACAATAACTATAACAATAACTATAGTAATTTGAAACAGTTAGCATGATGGTCAGTTATGTTAATCATGGGATTTTTGGTGCTTTTCACAAAACTTAGTAAAAAACATGATCAATGCTCAGCTGTGACTGTTATAAAACAAAATTGTTAGAGCTTGGTGTACAGAAATGGTTAGCTACAACAGCAGCACCTTGAAGAGGAAAAAATTAACGCTTTTAGGAGTTAACCTTTAGGAAACAAAAAATAAGTGCATATATGCTGTCTTGGAATACACAGTGTTACCTTTACTTTTTTCAGATAGAGCTTCAGCTGTTATCTTCAGGATATTAGACACAAATCCAATACAAATGTATTGGTACAAAGGTAGTTTTCTCTTCTGGCTATTGTGCTAATCCAGGAGTCTTTTTGGTTATTCCTAAGTATCCACCATGACCACCTTATACTGATGTTAGTGGGGTTGCTCTAGGATAAGATACTGGTGTCAGAAAAATATACTAGGAACCTGGCTTGTTCACTGGGAAACAAATGTTCCTTTTTCCACTACTTCGAGTAGAAAAGAGAGCCACAAAGCAACCTGCAAACTGCAGGTGCCTAAGACCTCTTTATAAAGCTCTGGTAAAACTAGTAGAGCCTGTAAGTGTATGTGCTGTCTTAGACACAGCACAATTACATTGACTACTGAAATAAAATCTTAATTTTCAGGAAGTTGGTGGTTAAGTTAGCTGAGCCATGAGTTCAAGCTGAAGACCTGAGGGCCTGGTGTGTCACTGCTGAAGTTTGACTTGTTTGTGTTTGATTTAGTAGGAACTGAATCATCTTTAAATTCTATCCTTCTCTTCTGTAAGCTTTATCTTTGGTGACTTCAGTAGACTGCAGTCTAAATATCTCAGACTGAGTTGCTCTTTAGGGACTGGGGAGAAATAGGTACTTAGGTACTTCTACCATACGATGAGGTGGGTTGCATACTTGGATGCCTAAGAAGGATGGGGCAAATGCATTTGAAATGTATGTACGTGTTGACAGGTGAGGTCAGATGAATCCCATTCATTTTGCTCAGGAAATCTGGAGGAGAAAGCTTAATATTTTTATTGGATCTATGGATTCGATACTGCGTAGAATAACAGAGTAGTTGAAGTTGGAAGGGGCTTTTACAGATCATCTAGTCCAACCTTGCCTGCTCAAGCAGGTTTACCTAGAGCAGACTGCCCAGGACTGTACAGACTTGCTTTCAATTAACTTAAAAATGTTGTTTGAGAAGCGTTTAACTTAAAAATATAGTTTTCATAAATCACTTGATTGCTGGCAGCCAGTCTGATAGACCTGTTTAGGATTGCTGATTGCTGATGTTAAGGTGCCAGCAGCTGCCTCGCTGGAGGGCACGGAGGGAGTGCTGTCCTGGAGCGTACCTGGGCAGGCACCGTAAGGGCTGGTGCACCTCTGGGCACCTATGGCTGAATTTAGCTGGGCCTCTCCAAGGAGGTAAATTCTGCCCTGTGTAACACACACAGTGCCTAAAGTCCCTGGTGAAGACCAGCATATATGCCCAAGTGCCACATTTAGGAAACACCTGAGGGATCTTTGGTTGTTTCCGTATGCAGCTAGGTGGAATTGCACAAATCCTGTAACTTGGTCATGCTACAAAACTTTGTTGTTTGCTCCAGTTCTTTCCCCCTCCAGTTTGGTGGCAAATGCAATTCCTCTACTATGTAAGAAAACTTCCCAGAAGAAGCCACAGCTTTAAAGCTAGATTGGCAGGGAGAGCAAAGGATCCCTCCTGCCTCTGCTAATTATTAGCTGAATTTTCTCTCATCTTCAGAATGAGCATTTTTTGCTAAATAATAAATGAAGGCTCAGAGTAGGTTTGTATTAACTGACAACCTTAACTCTACTGGCTGAATGAAATAATTTCATGTAAATCACTATCAGATAGTTTAATCCCACCTAATCCGTGGGGAGTTGCACCTCCAAATGATTTGAATAGTTTTTGAAAAGTGTTTTGAAAAAGCGTGTATAGTTTTGGTTTATCTTGTTTTGTTTTTTTTTGTGGCTGGATCTGCACAGAATCCTTCCTGTGGAGGGTGGCAGGGCCAGGGACAGCAACAATACACATTTGCTTTGTTCAGTTTAGGCTCTGGAACTCAATTTAGTAACTACTCAGATTTTGTGGTATTTGCTTTGAAGTTGTTACTTACACTGGTGTGATTTTTTTGTTTAGGAATGACTCAGCCCTGTAGTATATACATTTCTTTAGTACAGTTAAATATTGTTCTTGAAGAAGAAGAAGAAACACTTTACAACAAAAGATCTGTTTGCAAAACTAGAGGAATAACTTCTTCATTACATATGAGAAGAAAAACCCTTGCTGATCCTGCACCAGTGAAAATGGGTTTGTGGTGATGACAGGTTTGGGATTAGGAATAGATCCTAAAGCCATCCATGCTCGAAGACATGAGAAATCTGGTAAGAAAGTAGAGGCAGTAGAGTAGGCAAGGATTCATGACTGAAATCAACCTTTATATTTTTGAGTCCAAGCAGTGGCATGGCAAATAACATAGCACTGTTGGATTATTAAGGAGTTTTTAATAGTGACTTTAAAATGATAAATTCTGAAGTGTGTGTGTTATTTCTATCAGCAAACAAATGAAGGAGCTGGAGGAGTCGGGATTCCTGAAAGGAGCTCTGAGTGCGGAGCAGCAGCTGGCTCTCATTAGCGGCTGCACAGACCTGAAGGCAGCAGTAGAGGGTGCTACTTTCATTCAGGTAAGCCGAGATTCAATAGCTCCTAGCAAGCTAGAGCAGCAATCAGGTTGTTTTATATACTAGGTGCATATAGGAGAGTACAAGCTCCTGATTCCTTGGGGCTGGTTGTGCTGGATGACTAACAGCTGACCCTAGCTAAGGCTGGAGTGACTTGCTGATCTCCGTGTGTGGTGAGACTGTAGCTGTTAGAGCATGAAATGTAGAAGGGAGGTGGGCAGGAATCTCTCAGGGAGAGCTCTTCTTTTAGGCAACATCATACACATTAGTGCTAGGACTAAAAATTATTTCTTCTTCTTCAGCTATCTGTATAATGCAGGGAAAATGGCTCTGCCCAGGGGTGGCTTCTGTTCTGACAGTGCTCAAACTCAAGCCCTTTCCTGCTTGGGCCTCAGACACAACCAAATTTAGTGCTGTGGAGTGTGCCCCATATGTCTGCCAAAAGTGCTTTTCATGGGTGTCAAAAGGGTGCTTTGCAAAGGAAGGAGAAAACTGCTCAAAGCAGCTATCCACATCAGAGAGTTAAAATCAGGTCAGTATGTAGGGCTAAGCAAGATGAGTTTGGGGAGCAGGCTGAGTTCCTGGACCTGGCAGTCTGTGCTGCTTAGCTGTTGGTTGCTTAGCTCATTGATGTGGGCAGTTCAGGGAACGGTGGCAGAAGGGACCACTTACAGTAGACAATATGGATGAGTTGGTGTTGGACTTGGCACCTCATACACTAAATGGGCCCCCAGTTCAATTCCAGCTGCACTATTAACTGTGTATGTATGAATGCTATGCATGTTTGTATGCATGTATGTATGCTGCACTCCAGGACTTGCAATTTATCCTGCTCCAGAGTATAAATCTACCACTCTGCACTATAGCACATCCCTAATAATAATAGTAAGAGCAAAAAGGGACAAATGAAGGATACTACATGCAGTGCAAGAGAGACTTAGTGTTGAGTATTACATACTGTAGATATCTGTTACTTGATCTCCGTACAACTGTGTGCATCTCTCTGCTCTTTGGTCTTGGAGCTAGAGATGGTTGGCAGAGCTGTCCCATTCAGCAGAACAATGCAGCCTGGGGTTGCTTTCTCTTTATAGTCTCTCCCAGCCTTTCAGTGTCCAGCCACTGCAGCTGATGGATTTCCTGAGTCAGAATGCTGTTGTCCATTCAGAACAATTTCTGACCATGAAGAAAAACTTATTTAGTGTAGGTGTAGAGGACTGCGCACTGGAACAGGCTGCCCAGAGAGGTTGTGGAGTTGACGTCCTTGGAGATATGCAGAAGCCATCTGGACACAACCCCGGCCAACAGGCTCTAGGTGACCCTGTTTGAACAGGGAGCTTGGACTAGGTCGTCTCCAGAAGTTCCTTTCAGTCTCAACTGTCTAGTATCTAAGCAGCCTATCAGCAGCAAGATTTTCTTTAAATCCTGTGTCCTGCTAGCTTGGCTTCACGTGCTCTAACTTTTCTAGTGGAAGGCAGAATTCAGACAGCAAAGAGTTTATTCCTACTGAGGGTTTTGAGACCCCTGTCATATTCACTCACCCTCTTTTTGAATTTGTTGAGATCTAGTTTGACATAAAACAGCCTCCCTGTCTTCAGAAGGCTTTGGAGAACTGCAACAGGGTTCCAGGCCTTTCGCTTTTCCCAAGTTGGCCTGGTGCATCAGGAGGCAGAGCAAAGCCTCCCATGGTAGTGAAGACGCGAATGCGCTATAGATTTTTACAGTGGCAAACTATGAGAGCTGGCCTTTGCATTTTACTGTTTTCACTTGCGTATGTCTTACCTTGACTAAATTTAATTTATTATCTAGCGCCTCTTGTGAAGTTCTGGAGATGTTTGGGGTAGCAATGACAAGCACTGACAACATGGTGAGCCAGGCCTGTTTACTCACTGCCCACCTGTCTGCCAGGTCATTTATGAATGAGTGTAGCAAAGAGCACTGATCTCTGAATCTGCACTGGTCAGCGTCTCCCACTGAGCAAGAGCCGACTGCCTTCTGTTTGCTGTCCCTTTGCCAATTACTATCCCCTAAAGGACCTCTTATCTCTCACATGGCTGGATAACTTCCTTGAAAGCCTTTAGTGAAGGGCCGTGTTGAAGACTTAGTTTTGCAAATTCACATGGACCGAGTCCTATTCTTTTGCTTTTTGCTTCCTTTAAAAAATTCTGCTAGGCCTATGAGTCAGGGCTTCCCTTAAAGGCTGTTTTGATTCTTCTCCATTTATTTGCCATTCGTTCAGTGCTGCTCTTTTCTCCTGATTGGCTTGACAGACATCAGGCTTACGGAGTCATAGTTCAAGATTTCTGTGAAGCTCATTTTGAGTGGCAAACATGATGCAGCTTTATCACCTCTCTGTGTATATTTGGTTTGATTTCAAGCGAGCAATTTTATATCACTGTCAGTGGGCATTTTCTATCTTGTTTTACCGTGCTCTTTCAAAATAACAATCCTTGACTGCCATCTTCATCTGGGTACATCTTCAGCTTTGTGAAGGCTGCCTTCGTGTGTTTAGTAGCTGCATTTCTCTCTCTTTTTTTTTTTTCCCTTCATGGTGTCTTTTAACTAGCTGATCTATGAAATTGGGCTAATGTCACAGAATCAGTAATTTGGATTGGAAGTGGCCTTTGGATATCATCTATTTCAACCCGATGCTCTAAGTAGGACCAGCTTAGATGAGCTTGCTCAAAACATGTCCAGTGGGTTTTATAGATCTGCAGGAAGAAGACTTTTAGCCTCTTTAGATAACTTGTTGCAATGCTTGATTGCCCTCATTGTAAAATTCCGAGTTGGAATTTCCCTTCCCTTCCTACCACGGTGAACGTCTGAGAAGAATCTGGCTTCTCTGTAATAGCTGAAGGCAGCAATGTTGCGGTGATAGTGTTTGAATTACCTTGATAACAGCAATCTGCCTGTGGTAACTCAAGCTTCCCAGTACTATTTTATGTTCCCTTTGCATTAATAGATTTCAGCATATTGCTGTTAATTGAATTATATTTTTAAAAGTTGCATGAAGTAGATGCAGTGCACCGGATGGTAACAAGCCTTTAGGCACGGCACCTTGGCAGCAGTGCTCGCTAGCTCTTCAGTTTCAAACGACAGTATCAAGTTTTGCCTCTAAACAGTGTATACTGTACACTTTGAGTGTATATATACAATGTAAGTGGACTTTTTTTTTTTAAGCTAGTCTTTGCTATTTGTACTTAAGGGGAAAAAAGTAGATATAAAAGACTCGGAGCCCAGAATAAGGATTCCTATTTCAGCAGTGAATTGGCTATGTCATGGCCAAATGAACAGTGTGATACTTTGGAAAAGTGACCCAATAGTTAACTCTGAAACTGGAAGGGCAAAATGGCCTAGCTGTAACTTATGAGTACAAGTGTGTATGCATATTTATATGTATATACATATAAAATAATTTACATTAATGGTAGTTGATTGTAGAGGGCAAAACTCTTCTTGCTTAATGATGTGACCTACTGATTAACTTGTCATGGACTTCCATGAGAACTGCAGTTCTTTGCACTAGATTTCACTTGGTTAAATCTTAACTTTTTTTTTTTTCAAATTTCAGCTCTGTAGACTGGTCCACTTCAAACTGAAAAGTTCCTTGATGTTTGCAATGCTTGAGTCAATTCTCTGGAGGGTTTTTTGTTTTCTTGTGGTTTTTTTCCTCCTTCTTTTAAAAGAACTTTGCCTAAAAACCTCAGAACTGTGTTTTTATTTTATTTTATTTTATTTTATTTTATTTTATTTTATTTTATTTTATTTTATTTTATTTTTTGCCTTTTTTCTTTAGAAAGAGCTGGACATCCCCCTACTTCACCTGCAAACTCTTTTAAACTGGTAATAGTAATGCTAAGATGTCTTCAGCCTGGTCCATCTTGGATCTTGCTGCCAGTTCAGTCTCTCTGGTTGAGCTATCTAGAAAAAAAATGTTACAGCTTAAAAAGAGCTTTCAGAAAGATGGGAGGTGCCTCAAAATATGATACAAGCCTTGACTTGGGAGTCCTGACATGATGGTACGTGTTTCATTGCTCCTGTCAGAGAAACTTACCTTTAAATCTGAAGTTTTCCTGGTAGCACTTTGCAGACATTAGCTTTTGTTTTCCAGGGCTTTCAGGACCCCTTTTTCTCCCAGAGGGGAGGGGGTGTCTGTCGTTAGCTCCCAAGGAAGCTGAATTCAGCTGCCAGGAGCTGGTGGGATGGAAGCCAGGGATGATCAGGCCTGGGAAGCTGTATGGCTCTGTCAGTGTGGTACCTCTGTGCCTGGGAAGCTGCTGAAGGGCCGAGTGTGTGACGGCTGCAGTGACACAGCTGCTTCTGGACTAGCTGGTCAGCCCCGAGTACTGGGAGGTAAACATGGGCCTGATTGTTTCCTGCTAGGTAAATAGAACCCTAGGCCTGGCTTTATCCTATTTACCTTAAGCACTTAACAGCACCAAAGTTGCATTTTAGCTTCTAAGGCAGCTGATTCTAAATGGGCTAACTGCCTTGATGACTTTGCAGGGGATTGGGGAAGATTTAAGGGTTGAAACAATCTATGCTCAAAGATTCTTGCTGCAAAATATTTTATAAAGTGGCTCTAATAGCTCTCATGATCCCGTTGTACAGAGTAATGGCTGTGTTTGGGTTGAAGTGAGAGTCGGTGTCCCGGGAAGCAGCCTGCCAGTGTCACCCCCGTGGCGCTGTGGTTGTCACCTCCTCCCGAGCTCGAATTGCCCTTCTTCTCACTAACTCCCATTTCCAGCCTCCGTCTGGGACACTGCTCCTTTGAGTGCCACCCACAGAGCTCCCTGATAACTGGTTGCTCCTGCACTGTCTAATTGTACCTTTTTGTCGGTTCCAGTCCTTTGCTTTGCAGTTACAACTGGTTCTACTGCTTTTTCCTAAATCTCCTCTCATCTGACCAGCAGCTTTTTTTTTTAAAAAAAAAAAAAAAGAAAAAAACAGAAGAATTAAGGAACTGACACATGGTGCTTTTGGGGTAACTAAGCCCCAGAAGACCA